TCTCATTGTATTATGACTCTCCCTATCATCCTATCGCTCACTTTTCCACTACCCCCTTCATGTGACTCGTCTGCCCGTCTCTCCCTTCGCCCACAGACGCGCGCCCCTCACCTTCACCACCCGCACGGTGCGCCAGGTGTTCCGGCTGGAGGAGGGTGTGGCCTCGGACGAGGAGGCCGAGGAGGCAGAGCCAGGTTCTGGCCCGCAGCCCCAGGAGTCCGACGGGCCCCAGGAAGTACAGCCCCAGTGAGCCCTCCCCGCTCCGAGCCACCAGCCCCTCCCTCCCTGGCCCTGGAGGGTCCCACGAACCCACCCTGTGGCTTCTTGCACTTTGGAAATGGTGCCCCCTGCTGGCACCACCCACTCATCAACCCCACCCCAGGGGGCCCCCTGAGACCTCCACAAACGCAGAACACCAAAGAGCCCAGGTGGGGAGCAGGAGGCAAGGACTGGGGCTCTCTCGCTGGAGTGGAAATTCGGGTGTTGTTTGCACGCTGTGGACCCATACAGCTCCCATACTTACTTCAGATGTTGATGGTCTTTATTAGGAAGGGAGCGTGCTGTCCCCTTCCCCCCGCCCTCCTCAGCCAGGGCTGGCCATGGCCTCCTCCTCTCTTCCACCCCCCCAACCCCCCTCCCCGGCCCCCTGCCTCCCAGCAGAGGAGCAGGATCAGGGGCCTGTCTCATCCCACTCTTCCCATGCTCTGCCCTCCCTTCTGTTGCTCTTGTGTGATCACAGTCTGGTTACCCTGACTTTCCGGCCTCCAGCTCTGGTGGAAATAAACTCCAGCCCCAACTGGACCCCGCGGGGTGGTGTGTGTTTCTGCAGGGGGGGCGGGGAGGGGGGATCTCTGGTGGGTCCAGGCGGGCACTGGCTTCTTGCACCTGCTGGGGCTGCAGGTGGGCAGCCTGCTGATTCTGATCACAGCTGGTCGGTGTCGGGGGACCTCCTGGTACCTGACATCACCCCACGTCCACGTCCCCGCCTCCCTTCAAAGCATTGCGTCCATTATCCAGAGGAGGAGGCTGAGGCTCAAGAGCTGCGATGCCCCTCCCTCTAAACCAGGAGTGGCAGTGTGGTGTTTGCTGTGCTCTGGCCTCTGGCTGGCCGCCTAGTCTTTGCAAAACAATGGAGGCCCAGGCCGTGGCCGAGGCCGAGGCCGTCTGTTTAGCTGTGCTGAACACAAGACGTTTGTCTCAATTCCCAGCACATCTAAAGGAGATCTCATTGCTTCCCAGCACCTTGGACAGTGCCTGGCACCCAGTTGGCTTTCATCATGTATTTGCTGAATGACTAGATCACGCTGTCCTGGCCTTTTATTTTTTTAAAAAACATTTAAAATTTTTTAAATATATTTTATTGATTTTTACAGAAAGGAAGGGAGAAGGATAGAGTTAGAAACATCGATGAGAGAAACATCCATCAGCTGCCTCCTGCACACCCCCCACTGGGGATGTGCCGGCAACCCAGGTACATGCCCTTGACCGGAATCGAACCTGGGACCCTTCAGTCCGCAGGCCGAAGCTCTGTTCACTGAGGCAAACCGGTTAGGGCTAAACATATCGATATTTTTACCGATCTCAGAGAGGAAGGAAGAGGGAGACATAAACATCAATGATGAGAGACTCATGGATCGGCTGCCTCTTGCATGCCCCCCACTGGGGAATCAAGCCCACAACCCAGGCAGGAGCCCTTGAATGGAATGGAACCTGGGACCCTTCAGTCCTCAGGCCACTGCTCTAACCACTGAGCCAAACCAGCCACGGTCCATCCTGGCTTTTTAGAGTGGCAGAAGCCCAGAGAGGTCAAGACTTGCCCAAGGGCACACAGCCACGAAGTTGAACCCAGGCATCTTCGTATAGTTAGCAATAGGGAGTGGGCTGCCCTGAGCCCCTGAGCACACCCTGGGGACCCAGGTCCCTCCTCTCCTGGGGACCAGTTACTCTCAGGAGCTCCCATCATCCAGGTGCCCGCAGACTTCCCAGCTAGGGGTGTAGGCAGGCACTCGCCCCAAATCGCCAAGTGAGAGCAGGTGTTCACGGGCATGTCTGGGCCCCCAGAATGCACACCCGTGCCTGCCACTTTAACCCAACCCCTGGTCTTGAAGACCCAATATCCCTCTGTGGACCCCCAAAAGCTCCCCAGCCCTCCCCCGGAGGCTCCCCAACACACGGACAGGACGCAGCTTTTAAATGAAAAGGAAACTTTAATTTCGGTGGGGAATGAGAAGGGTGAGTGGAAGGGGGGCATGACACTTTTTCTTTTTTTTGGGGGGGGTGACATGCGGCAGCTTCTGCATCGGGCGGTTCATGCACCCAGGGTGGGCGTGGGGAGGCCTGGGGGAGGGGCCTGCCGACCCCTCCCTCCCTGCCCTGGGGGTGGGCTTGAGAAGACCCGCCGTTAGCACCAGAGTTGGACGATTTTGCAGACCTCCCCTCCCCACACTGACTGACTCCGGACACCCGCCCCCATCCCTGAGAGCGCCCCCTGGCCGCCACCCCCTCCGCCTCCGCCCGGACAGGCCAGGCTCGCCCCGCCCACGTCGGAGGGAGAGAAACTTATTGCTGTGAGTGTGTCGGGGAGGGGAGCCGCTGAGCCCGGGAGGACCCCCGCCGTCCGTCCCTCCCCCCCCGCCCCGCCCCCCGCCCCGTGCCCGTGCGTGCCGAGCGCAGGAGGGCGCCACATGCGAGTGGGGAGCGTCATGCAGCGCATGCGTGCAGTTGCGGGCACCCTGGCGGCGGGGCGGGGCGTGGGAAAGGGGCGGAGCGTGGGAAAGTGAGCGGGAGCGGAAGTCGTCCCTTTAGCTCGCTCCCCTCCCCCCCCCTGAATCCCACGTTGTTTATTGACTTGGGGGGATGAGAATCACGCTTTGTGGAGGCTTATCATGATCGTGGTTATTTTTAAAAGCTGAACTAAAAAGCTGGGTACGGGTGGCAGGTGGGGGGCAGGGGGAGACGGAGGGAAGAGGTCTGTACCCTTTGGAGAAGATCCTCACCCCCTTTCCCCCGTCTTCCGTGAGGGTCTGGGGAATGGGGGCGGGAGGGGGAGGGCTTTTTTTTTTTTTTTTAAGAAGTTAAACCCTTTGGCAATAGAATCAGTCCCCACCCCCATACCCTGGTGTCTGGGGCCCCTAGCCCTTTGCCCCGCCCCGCTCCCCGCAGAACCTGCCCCTCCCCTCGCCCCAGATTCGCCAGGGTTTAGGGACCGAGGGGGAAGGATGGGGGGGACTCGAAGTGCCCCTTGCATAGGAATCGTTGCATCAAGAATCGTGCTCAGTGACACCCCACCCCCCAACCCTCGGGTGGGGTTCCTGAGGCTGTGGGAGCACAGGGAAGAGGAAGGTTGCTAATTCTGTGGGGCCCCCGGCTCCAAAACCAGGGGGTGGGGGGGTTCTCTAAGGATTCTGGGACCAGGGTGGTCTCCAGGCTTGGGGGAGGTAGCGCATCCTTGAGCCAGGATGGGATGTGAGGAGGGATTTTCCTACCCGCGGGCGTGGGGTCCCCGCCCAGGTGGGTGGGTGGTTGCCTAAGCCTCCATGTCCCAGTATCCGTCCATCCGTTCGGCAGTCTCTAGATGGAGACACGTGACCTCAATAACCGGTGCCCCACAACCTGGACTCACTGGCCTTTGAGCGAAGCGCCCTAAAAGGCAGAACCCCAGCAAAGACACAAGCTCCCGGGTGCTCGTCCTCGCACTGCCTGGCCCTCAGCAGGTCAGAGGCACGAACACACCCTGTGGGGAACACTGAAGAGGGTGCCATTTAAGGGAAGGCGTGTGTGTGGGGGGGCGGGTTGGGCCTAAGAAACGGGGTGCCCTGGGAAGATCACGTTCCCTGGAAGGGCAGGCAGGTCTGGGCCCGCCTTGGAAATCCTAGGGGCCAGGGGAGCCTGAGGTGGGTGTCTGGTGGCAGAGACTCGGGGGTCTCTGGTGGGGTTGAGGCCTGAGGATTCGGGGTGTCCAGGAAGTGTCTGAGATCGGGAAGGGTCTGGAGCATCCCAAAGGCGGAGAGAAGCTGCAGGCTGGGCGCCTCTTGGAGGGCGGAGGCACCAGGATGCACTCCAGGGAGTGGCTGGCCGTGGGGCTGGATTGGGGGTGGCATCTGTGTGCAGAGACTAAGTTTGGGGGGGGTGTTTGGAGGATGCGGGGTGCCAGGGCCAGTGTCAGGAATTCTGGGTGCAGGGCTCATGTCCCGGGAACCTGGAGGGGTGCTGGGGGATGTGTGTGTGCTGGGGCCAGACTTCCCAGGAGGTCTGAGTCCATGCAGCAAGCACAGAGGCGAGCAGATCCTGTGGGGGTGGCGGTGGGGATGAACGGGGGCAATCCACCAGAGGGACCCTCCTCAAGACTGAGGGAGCAGCTGGCCGCAGCGCCCCACTTCTGCCATCTGAGCTCAGCTCGGGCGTTTGGCTGGATGGCTGTCCCTCCTCCCCCCCGCGTATGGTCGCTAATTTTTATTTGTAATCCATGCAGGATGGGCTGCCCTCCAGGAGGGGGGCAGGGGAGGAGGCAAGGAGACCCTCCTGCACCCCACCCAACCCCCTCGAGGCTCCACGCCCCCTCCCCAGAGTGCCCGTACCCTCAACCGCGCGGCATGCAGCCCTGGCGCTCATTGCTGAGGTGGAGCTGGGGTCAGGGTCTGGGTTGGAGCATGCACAGTGGGGGGGAGGTGCCCCCCATGTAATTGGCATAATTTGGACGTATTTACACGAGCTGATGGGAGAGGGGGTCCTATGGCTCATGGAGACCTGAGAAGGCTTTATTTGGGGGGGAAGGAGGGGAAAGTTGGAGGGCGTGGGGCTTGGCCCCTCCCCCTCCATCCTGCGGGCCCGGGTGGGGATGAGGGGCCCGGGGGTGTCTGCTGGCGTGGTGGTCGTCTCCGTTGCATATTATTGACTTTTTGATTGTTTTTATATATAAAATAAAGCCTTTCCCCGAACCCCAGCTCCTCTGACCTTCTTCCCTGTCACCCCCGAGTCCCCCCACGGGGGGGAGGGGAGCGCTAAAGGATGGAGGGCAAGGTTGGGGGGGCCCGGCGGGTGGCCCTGGGGGAGCCGGGGGGAGTGGCTAGGGGCGCGAGGCGCAGAGACACGCCGCTCAGGCCCGCGATGCTGCTCAGGCTGCGGGATTTCTCGTAACCTGGGGGGGGGGGGGGCGGAAACACGGGGAGGAAGCGTGGAGTCAGGGTGCAGGGGAGGGTCCCAGAGACAGAGAGACCCCAAGACAGAGAGAGGGAGGGAGGGAGGGAAGCAGGAGAGAGACAGCCAGAAAGGACGCCAGCCGGAGAGAGGCAGGGGCAGGGAAAGCCAGAGACAGAGAAGGCGAGAGGAGAGACAGACGGGAGAGACCGAGCCGACAGGCCCGGGACACAGCCAGACGGGGCGGGCGAGGCGGACACGGACAGGCGGGCCGAGGAGACGGAGAGAGAGAGAGAGAGAGAAGTGAACAAATCGCACAGTCAGTGGCGTCGAGGAGAAAGGATCAGACACGGGGAGGGGGGAGAGACTCAGGGTTAGGAGGCAGTGGCGCCCACGGAGCCTCCCCCACCCATCCTATCCCATCCCCGCGCAGCCCGCCCCTCCTCCCGCCCCCCACAGGCCCCCTCATCTGAGCATAAGGGGGGGGCAGCAAGGCAGATGGTGGCAGCAGGGGCATGGGCGGGAGCTCAGGTGGAAGGCAGGGGTGCAGCCGGGAGGGCGCGGGCAGGGCTGCAGGGGGAGCTAACCTACTTGTGGAGGGATGGGGTCACGGCCGGCCGGCGGCGCCCCCACAGCTGCAGAGCAGTCGGAGGGGCCAGGCTGGCTCACCTGAAGGCGGGCAGGGGTCAGGGAGTGCCCATGGGAACCTTCTGACCGAAGGGGATCTAAGATGGCGTCTAAGGTTGCAGAGCATGGGGTGGGGGGTGTCTCTGGGAAGCCTGGGGCCTGTCTGAGACCACAGGAGGGAGAGCCTGAGGGGTCGGGAGCCCACTCCCTAGGGGACGCCCCTTCCCAGCCGTTCCCCGTTGCTAACCTGGGGGGAAGGGGCAGGGGGGGACCGAGGGTCTCTCGAGGCCTCAGGCGGTGACAAGAGCTGGGGACAGAAATACACAGAGTCATGGCGGGGGAGGGCGGCCACGGGGAGCCCCCCCAACATGGCCTCGCTGTTGGGGGTCCGAGAAAAGCCGGATCTCTTCCTCCTCTCTAGTGTTTTCCGGGGAGGGGAGCAGTGAAATGGGGCGGCCAGAGACATCAAATATGGGAGGAGCGTCCGGGGTGGCTGGGGTTGGGGGAGGGGGGGATGGGAGGAGGGAGGAGAAGGCTAGGGAGGAGGGGGAGCACGTGTCCAGGGTTGGACTGAGATGGCTGGTGAGGGGAGATGAGGAAGGGAGCGGTCCTGGGTGGGGGGACACACCAGGAGGAAGGGTCTTGGGAGGAGGGGAGGGAGCAGCAGAGGAGGGCGGGCCATGGGGGGCGGGTAGGGGGGAGAGGGGGAGGGGAAAGTGAGGGAGGGGGATCCAGGGTCCAGTCAGCCCCATCAGCTCCAGCCATTATTTGAGTTCAATGAATGGATTTTGGCATCAGAGGCAAGAGAAGCAGAGACCTCCCCCAACCCTCCCCGGCCCGGCCCGGCCCTCCCTCACCCCCCCCCGTTCCCACCCCCCCACTCCCCTGGCCCCCCTCCATTCCAACGGGCCCATCCAGACTTGAAGGAGGGGGACAGAGTGGGAAGGGGACTGGGTGCAAGCGGGGAGGGTGAGATGGGAGGGGGGAGGGGCTGGCGATGAGATGACAATGAAGAGGGCGTGAGGGGAGGGCAACAAGGAGGGGGAGGGAGGGAACAAGAGCCTGACAGCCCCCTCGTGGTTCTGTCTGAACCAGAAGCCTGGGCTGCCCTCCCCTCTGCCGCGTGGCCTGGGTCAGTCACGGCTGTCCTTGAACTTCTGAGACACAGGGGGCTGGGGCAAGGCCGCCCCGGAGGCTCCCTGAGAGTCCCAAGCCCCACGCCCCACACCAGCCTCTCCGGAGGCTGCAGCAGGGATGTGGGATGTACCTCTATTTCTAAGGCGGCATCCGCAGGTGTTTGTGAAAGGGAGAACGTGATGGGTCACATTCCTCCTCCTCTCTCTCCGGACAGGGGCAGCCCCTCAGTCCCTCACCCCCTCACTGTGGCCAGCGCCCTCCTGCTCTCTGGGCACAGGCTGTCCGCCCCCTCTCCCCCTCTCCCCGCGGCTGCTCAGCTCTGGCCTCACCCCCTCCTGGCAGTTCCTTCCGGCACCAAGCTCGCCCACCTGGGACCCCCAGGGCCTTTGCACGTGCTGTTTCCCTCTTCCCCTGCCGGCCCTTCCCACCTTTAGGTTTCGTGTCACCTCCAAGAGCCCTTCCACAGCCCTAAGAGTGGCCAGAGACTTTTTGTTTTGCTTTGTTTTGTTTTTACTTGTTTAATGTCTGCTGCCTCCCATCAGGGGGCATCAGACTTCTCCTTAAAGGGCCAGGGAGTGAACATGTTCGGCTCTGTGAGCCCCTCGGTCTCTGTCCTCACTATTCCAGTCTCCTCTGGGAGCATAACAGGGAGATGTTCCGATAAAGTTCTATTGACAAAACCGCTGGCTGACAGAGCTGGCCCGTGGGCTGCGGCGTGCCCACCTGTGCTCCGGAGTATAAGCTCTGAGGGCAGCCCCTTGCTCTGTGCAGTCCTCGGTGACGGTGGCCTCAGGAGTCCGCAGTTAAATGAATGAGTGGGTGGGGGATGGAGCCGGGGGCGCGCAGGGCGGTGTGAGCATTACGGAAGGCGTGTCAAATTCCTGGCGTGTGGGATGTGCTTGGTTGTGTTTGCCGAATGACTCACTGACTAACAACTCTCTCTTCATTGTGTCCCCCGACCTCCCAGGCCAGTCCCCAGCCCTTTTCCTCCTGTGCTCTCCCTGCCTCCTTCCTCCCTCCCTTCCTCCCTTCTTTCCTTTCTTCCTTCCTTCCTATCTTCACAGCCCTGACCCCATGGACCCTTGTCCCGGTCTCCCAGGCCTGCCCTCCAGTCCATCCCCAAGGACCCAGAGAGGACCTGCTCTCCCCGTCCCCGGCCAAGGTCCCCGCCTCAGCCAGCCCTGCCTTCCTGCCTCGTGGCCGCCTTCCCCATCCGTGACCGATTCCTTCTGAAAACCTTCGCTGGGGCTTGCTCCTGGCCGGGGCCCTGCCGCCTCCACGTGCATATGTCACCTCAAACGGCGACCTTCTCTGCCTGCGTCTGCCCCTCCCCAGCTGCTCCCGGGGAGGGGGCCCCATTTTGCTGGCTGAAGTCCCGGGTGGGACTGTGGGTGCTAAGCTGCCAATCCACAAGGGACTGACTGGGTGGCCCCGTCTTTCTCACCCCATCTCGCACCCTGACGAGTATCCTGAGAGTGAACCCCGTTTTTTTGGTGGAGTGTCGAACACCCAGAAGGGGAGGCAGGGCGAGAGGTGTTGATGGGAGTGAGGATGGGTCAGTTGGGAGGGCCGGGGGGGGGGGGGTGGGCAGGCACATGGTGGGAGGTGGGGGTCAGTTCCGGGGGTGAGTGAGGAGCCGGCGAGTCCGGGCGGGTGGGTGTGGGGTCGAAGGACCGAAGGTTAATCAGATGGAGCTCTTCATGGCGGGGGGCGGGGGTCTTGGTCAGTGGGGGCTGCATGTTCTCGGTGGGGGGGGAGGTTAGTCGAGAGGAGGGGGGTCAGAGGTCAGGAGCTACTTACCCCGGGGGGAGGGGGTTCGTCCGCTAGGGGGATATCCAGGCCGCAGCGTTGGCGTTGAGGTCGGGCAAGAAGCTGGGGGGGCCTGGCTTACGCCAGTCTGGGGGGGGCAGTGGGGGAGCACCGGTGGCTGGGGGTGGGGGAAGAGGCCAGAGGGTCGGGGTGGGGGAAATGGAGATGCAATAAAGACAGGTGAAGGGTCAGTGGTGAGGATACTCGGGGAGGGGTTGGGGGTGGGGGTCTGGGAAGGAGGAGATTTGGGGCCAGGGAATGGGGAAAAGGGAGTCCATCACCTCCTCCCCCTCTCCCCCTCTCCCCCCTCCCCGAGGGGAGGCGAGAGAGGGAGGGTCCCAGGCCAGCGGAGGGCGCCTCACCTTTCCGGATGGAGCCATCAGGGGAGGGAGCGTAGTCCGTGAGCAGGAAGCAGGCCCGGTCCCGGCTGTAGCGGCCGCGGTTGCCGGGGGTGATGGGGCTCTTGTCCTCCGGGGACATGGCGGGCTGGTCGATGGCCGGGCAGTCCTCGTGGGCCAGCGCGGCTGCGGCCGGGTCCCCGTTGGGGCGGGGACCTGTGTCCCGGGGCCGGACGGAGACAAAGGAAGGAGTGAGTGTGGGAACGCAGGGTCGGGGAGACCCGCAGGGACAGGGTGCTGGCGGGCTGGGGGGCATGACGGTGGCTAAGGACAGGGGGTCAGGAGATGACAGGAGCGGCTCAGCTGGGAGCAGGGTGTTGGGGGGCATGGCTGGTGGATTTGGGGAGCGGGTCACGGGGGAAGGATGTTGAGTTTTGGGGTGGTGTGTATTTTTTTTTAACTCTCACCTGAGGATACTTTTTCCATTGATTTTTTTAGAGAGAGTGGAAGGGAAAGGGGTAATGGGAGAGACAGAGAGAGAAACATCGATGTGAGAGAAACATACCAATCGCTTGCCTCCTGCACCCAGGGGATCAAGCTGCAACCCAGGTACATGCCCTTGACTAAAAATCGAACCCGAGAACAGGCTGGCACTCTAACCATTGGGCAACACTGGCCAATGTGGAACGGTGTTGCCTTTTGAGGACAACAGGGTAGGCAGAGGTGGTTAGGGGACAGGGTTGGATGAAGGTGATGGAGGAAGGTGCGGAGTGCTAGTCAGGCCAGGTGCCAGGGCTGGGAATGGAAGGCTGGGGCTGGGTGCTGGGCATTTGGAGGGATGGGTGGGGAGGACATGGGCAAGAGGGGGCTGGGAAACAAGCTGGATGCTGGGAAGGGGGCTGGGACAGAGTGTTGGGGGGATCATTGGGTCAAGTGAACTGTCAGGCAGAACTAGGTGGGGTGTTGGGTGGGTGGGGTGTTGGTTTGGTGGGGTGCTGGGTGGGGAGGGTGTTGGGTGGGTAAGGAGTTGGGTGAGTGGGGTGTTGGGTGGGTAGGGTATTGGATGGGTAGGGTGTTGGGTGGGTTGGGTGTTGGGTGGGTGGGGTGTTGGGTGGGTGGAGTGTTGGGTGGGTGGGGTGTTGGGTGGGTGGGGTGTTGGTTTGGTGGGGTGTTGGATGGGTGGGTGGGGTGGTGGGTGGATAGAGAGTTGGGTGGGTGGTTAGTTGGGTGGGTGGGGTGTTGGGTGGGTAAGGAGTTGGGTGGGTGGTGTTGGTTTGGTGGGGTGTTGGGTGGGTGGGGTGTTGGGTGGGTGGGGTGCTGGGTGGGGAGGGTGTTGGGTGGGTAAGGAGTTGGGTGAGTGGGGTGTTGGGTGGGTAAGGAGTTGGGTGGGTGGGGTGTTGGGTGGGTAGGATGTTAGGTGGATGGGGTGCTGGGTGGGGAGGGTGTTTGTTTGGTGGGGTGTTGGGTGGGTGGAGTGTTGGGTGGGTGGGGTGTTGGGAGGGTGGGGTGTTGGATGGGTGGGTGGGGTGGTGGGTGGATAGAGAGTTGGGTGGGTGGGATGTTGGATGGGTGGGTGGGGTGGTGGGTGGGTGGAGTGTTGATTTGGTGGGGTGTTGGTTTGGTGGGGTGTTGGTTTGGTGGGGTGTTGGGAGGGTGGGGTGTTGGATGGGTGGGTGGGGTGGTGGGTGGGTAGAGAGTTGGGTGGGTGGTTAGTTGGGTGGGTGGGGTGTTGGGTTGGGGTAGATGGCTGGGGCGCTGGGAAGGACACAGTGGGAGGGTTAAGAGGGTGACAGATGAGGGCGGGGCAGTGGGGGTCCCCAGGCTCTGACTAGGGCTATTTTTAATTGGTGTGAAACTGGGTCAGTGGCTGAGGGAGCAAGATGGGGGCCGGGCGGCCCAGCTCCCTTTCTTGACCTACTTAAGACGTGGGGGTGGGGCCCACCGGCCTCTCCCTCCTCCCAGACTGACCCCCCAGTCCCTGCCTCCGCGGCAGCTCCCCTGGGGGAGGCACAGGCACAGGCACAGTCTACGCCTGCATCTCTGAGCCTCTCAGACCCCCTGCAGAGCCCGAGCCTGGGCCTCGGGTCCCAGGTCACTGTCCTGTCACGTGGAATTCCCACCCTCCGGCCGGTCTCCCCTCGACGCTCTCGGACCCTTCGATTTCAGTTTGAAGTCTTCCTTCCTCTCTTGGTCTGACTGTTACTCAGCCCGAACTCTCTGCTGCCAAGCCCTCCCCGCTCTCTCGGTCTCTGCCCCCCATCCCTTCCCAGAGACAATCTCGTAGTTTCAGATTCTGTGGCCTTTGGGCCATCCTCTCGGGCTCTCCCCCCGGGAACCACCTCTTGGTCTCCTCTCCGGCCAGCCCAGGTTCACGTGTGCGACCCTCGCCCCTGGGTCCCTCTGAACGCTCCGGCTGCAAGTCTGTTTCTCCCCAAAACTGGCTTTCACCCAAAATCTCTCTCTCTCTGTCATTGCCTATGTCTGTGCCGCTTCTCCGACCTCAGCAACTGCTCTTCCCTCTCCTCTCCCCTCTCTGTTGCTGACCATCCCGTCTCTGAACCTCGGCACCCACCTCCTGCCCCCCCCCAAACCTCCCCACCTCCTCCCACGCATCTGGGCGGGCGCCCCCTCCTCACCTGCCCGGTTGATCTCAATCACTTCCTCCTGAGCCAACGGGCAAGGCTCCCCGGGGGCCGGCAGAGGGGGCAGCCCCATGATCCCGAGCCCGCCCGCTCCCCCCCTGAGCAGCCCGGGGTGCGAGTGGGGCCCCGGAGGGTAGGCCCCGGCCATAGTCACCCCCATGGAGGGCGGGGTGATGGGGGGCGGGGGGCTGATGCCGCCGCTGCTGCCGTGGTGAGGGGGCGGCAGGGGCGGCAGGGGCGGCTCGGGCTTGCAGTAGTTGGGCGAGCCGGGCAGCGGGGGCCGGGGGATGTGTTTGTTCTTCTTCTTGGGCAGCTTCTGCTTGGCCATGGCCAGCGAGTAGTACATGCCGAAGTTGTTGACGATGACGGGCACGGGCATGGCGATGGTCAGCACCCCGGCCAGCGCGCACAGCGCCCCGACCAGCATCCCCGACCACGTCTTGGGGTACATGTCCCCGTAGCCCAGGGTCGTCATGGTGACCACGGCCCACCAGAAGCCGATGGGGATGTTCTTGAAGTAGGTGTGGTTGGAGCCCAGGATGTCGTCCGGGTCGGCGCCGATGCGCTCGGCGTAGTAGATCATGGTGGCGAAGATGAGCACGCCCAGCGCCAGGAAGATGATGAGCAGCAGGAACTCGTTGGTGCTGGCGCGCAGCGTGTGGCCCAGCACCCGCAGCCCCACGAAGTGGCGCGTGAGCTTGAAGATGCGCAGGATGCGCACGAAGCGCACCACCCGCAGGAAGCCCAGCACGTCCTTGGCGGCCTTGGAGCTCAGGCCCGACAGCCCCACCTCCAGGTAGAAGGGCAGGATGGCCACGCAGTCGATGATGTTGAGGCTGCTCTTGAGGAACTCCACCTTGTCCGGGCAGAAGGTGATGCGCATGAGGAACTCGAAGGTGAACCAGACCACGCACACGCCCTCCACATAGGTCAGGAAGGGCTCGGTCTCCACCTCGAAGTTGGTGACGTTCTCAGGCGGGGCCCCGGGGATCGGGGAGGCCTGCGTCACCGTCTTGTTGATGATGTGGATGAAGCCCTCGTGGGTCTCCAGGCAGAAGGTGGTGATGGAGATGAGGATGAAGAAGAGGGAGGCGAAGGCCACGTACTGCGGGCGGGGCAGGGGGGAGAGAGAGAGAAGGCAAAGGGGTGAGCCGGGCATCTGGTCGCCTCGCCGCCATCTCCACGGGACCCTCCCGGGGGCTCCTTTCCCAGCCCAGATGCCCGCCTCTCCCCACTGAAGCTGCAGAATGGAAGGCAGAGGGCCAGGCCGCTGTCCCCCGGCTCGGGAGAGGAGCTGGCCCCGCAGCCGCAGCCCATGGGCAACTTCTGTCCTGAAAACAGCAATTGCTGGCCTCGGGCTCTGTCGCCTAGACCTGCGGTCGGCAAACTGCGGCTCGCGAGCCGCATGCGGCTCTTTGGCCCCGTGAGTGTGGCTCTTGGGCAAAATACCACGGCCCGGGCGAGTCTGTTTTGACAAAGTGGCGTTAGCAGTTTGAAAAACGTGGCTCTCAAGAGAAATTTCAGTCGTTGTACTGTTGGTATTTGGCTCTGTTGACTGATGAGTTTGCCGACCACTGGCCTAGACCAACCCCCCTTCCTACTCTCTCTACCCGCCCCCCCCCAACCCCCACCACCACCCTCTGATTCCCCGTGTCAATCTCTGGGCTCAGGTGAGACAGAGATCGCTCACCCTCTATATCTCAGAAGGTTTGGAGGTGGGCTTGGAGCAGAGGGTTGGGGAAGGGGGGGAAGGTGCTAACAGTAAAACCTTGGGTTTGAATCCAGCCTTCCCTCTGCCTAGCTTGGGCAAAGCAATTAGGCTTCCCAAACCTCAAGTTTTTGCGGGATTATTACGAGGATGACATTAGATGAGTGGACAGAAAACCTCGCCGCAAAAAGAACAGCGCTTGGCCATGTCTGGAACTCAGTGAGGTCTGAGCTCTTAGGAGGCCATGGGGGCATCAGTTAGTGGGGGGCAAGGAGCCAGGCTGTAAGGACCTTGGTGCCAATGTCTGTGCCCCAGAAAAGTGAGAGGGCTAGGTGAGGCCCTTCCCCAAGAGGACAGGACAGGGGCGGAACCACAAAGTGGAGGGAGCAGTTAGGGCCCTGAAGGTGGGAGAAGTGAAGTGTCAAGGCTGCAAAAGGGGCGGGGGCACAGGTGCAGGTGAAGAGAGGTGGGGTTTAAGGCCCTCAAAGGGGAGGGAGGGTCAGGGGCCTGGCCCTTGCGGAAAGGGCAGGACTAGGGCCAAAGAGAGGTGAGCGGCCTCTCAGAGGTGCAGAGGATCGCGAGTGGAGGCGAGCCTGGCCACTTCGGTTCGGGGGAGGACTAGAACCCTGCCGAACAAGGTTGTGGGATTTGATGGAAAGCCCTGAGGAAGGGAGAGGGCGGGTCAAGATCTCGGAGAAGGGGATGGAGGAGGCCCCTGGAGAGGATAGTGGGCTCTGAGGCTAGTCCTCGGAGAGGGAAGGGGATGAGTGTTGGGGCAAAGAGGAGGCTTTCATCACAGGGAGAGACGAGGCGGAGGGGCAGAGAAAAGAGGGGGGCCGGGGTCAGGCTGCAGAGACCCTACACCTTGGGCTGAGGGTCAGCGGGTGCCCTCTCCGCCCCGCCCCCTCCCCGTTTCTCCGCAGTGGCTTAAGAGGCCACGGGCCGCCGCAGAGCGCATGCCCGGAGCGGCTGCCGCACCGCAGTGGGGGCGGGCCGGCCGGGCCGGGGGGCGGGCGCGGCGGCCAGCACCGCGGACAGCTCCCCCGCCGCAGTGCGCAGCCGCAGCAGCTGCGAGCCGCCTTAACCCCTTCGGCGCCGCGGCGGAGCGGGCGGTGCGCAGCCGCAGTGCCGCCGCTTCCCAGCGGGAGGCCGCGGGCCCGGAGCAAGTTTAACTCCTTCCCCACCGGGGCACAGACAGGAGAAGGGGGGCTCCCGCGGGGCACAGCGTGGGGACTGGTTTAACCCCCTGCCCCAGATGGTTCAAAAGCAGAGTAGGACCTGAAGTCCCTGTAAGGGAAGGAGAGATACGAGGAAGGGAGTGTGTGTGTGTGTGTGTGTGTGTGTGTGTGTGTGTTGGGGGGCGGGGGGAAGGGGATGGTAGACACCTCCACTTTCCACTGGCCTCAGCTCCTACCCCTGCCAAGCTATCCACCTGGGAGGCTGGAAAGGGACCGGCATGCTGAGGGCACTCAAAAAATATCTGCGGAGTAAATGAGTGACCCCCCTCCCCCCAAAGCTGCCTCGGACATCCAGCCTCACCTCGGGACCCTCCAGTGGGGTGGCAAGAGGGAAGGGCACCCCAGGCCGTGGCGGGGAAAAGAGCCCTCGGAAGCTTGAGGGGGAATCTAGGGCCACATCCCTTCTGGACCTCGTCCTCCTCCCCTATCCCCACCCAACCCCAAATCTCGCCAACTCAGCGCTTCCCGGGGACCAAACTTTATGCGGTGCCTCCGGGCCCCCCTCCCCCTCGTGCCCTCCCCCAGCGTGAATGCGGCACTGCGGCTCCGTGTCCTTCTCGTCTCAGGACGCGGCACGGAGGGGGGAGGGGGCGGAACCGGCTCCTCTGGGTGTCTGTGTCCCCAGGAGGCTACGAGGGGTCCCTGAGGTCGCCCCTCTTTCCCTCTAATCCCCCCCGTTTTGAACTGCTCTCCTCTCTTCCAGCACCGGGAGGAAGTTAGGATGAGAAAGGCAGAACTGGGGGGAAGGGTAGCTATTGAGCCTAGGAAGTTAGGAATGTTTAAAGTTATAAAAGTTTTTGGGGGGACATAAAGGGAGCTGCGGGGAGGGGGGGTGGAATTTGGAATTTCAAGGAGATGAGGCTGGAGGGGGCACCCTCTTTGTTCACCTTGGGGATGGGGGAGAAGCTGAGGCGCTCAGTCCAGGGCTTTGGACTGTGTGTGTGTGTGTGTGTGTGTGTGTGTTGGAGGGGTCATCTTGGGAAAGGGGGAGCGAGCAGGGCTGGGGTCACGGGGATACCAAGGCAGGGAAGAAGTAGGAACTGTTTTGAGAAGAAAGTTGTGGGGCTGATGACTTGAGGGAGGTCCTGAGGATTAAGCTTAAAGTTCTGCAGCAGGAGAAAAAGTCATTCATCTACTAGGAAAGCGGCTGGGAGTTGGGGGGCAGGGGGTTGTCCCAGAGAGAGGGATGGGCTGTGCAGTAAGTGAGGGAAGGGAGAAGCTGAGGGTGAAGAGGAGGCATTCTGGAGAGCATATGGGAGGCTCTGAAGGGGACACGCATATGGGGGGGGGGGGTCAGGAGAAACTAAGGAGTGGGAAAGGTTCTGGGGAAATCTCCAGCTTTATGGGAAACTCCTTGGGATTGGAACTGGCGTGGAGGATGCAGGAAGGGACTTGAACAGAGGGGTCCTGAAGGTCCCAGGAGAAAAAATGCCCCAAGATTTACTGTTGCAGTGACGAGGAGGGGGAGGGGGAGGTGTCCTAGCCAGAGCAAGTGGTTTGGAGGTTCAGAGGGGTCCAGGAGGCTCTGAAGCTGGGGTGCGGGAGTCTTTCTGAGACATGGGGAGTTCAAAAATAGCCAGGAGACCCTAACTCGGAGGGGGTCAGGGAGAGGGGCAAAGGGAAAAGGCACGGGGAGCTGCTAAGAGTCTGAGGAAGTGAGGGCTGGAGAGGAGGGGGAGGTGCAGTAGGGGATCTGCAGGGGCAAAGAAGGGGGCAGTTTGCACAGAGCTTGGGACACTTTGAGGGGTAGCAAAGGATGTCTTCTGAGGGTCTGGAGAAGGTCCAAGAACCTGAGGGCTGGGGAAGGGTCTTCGGAGGGTCTGGGGGTGCCCAAGAGAAGGGAGAAGGAGCTTAGAAGGGTTCCGGTGACTGAGGGCCAGGGAAAGGTCTTCCGAAGTCTCCGGGGGTCCTTCAGAGGGTGAGGTTGTTCAGAGGGGCCCGGGAGGGAGTTCCTAAGGGTCGAGGTGGGGTGATGTAGAGAAGCGGGGTGAGGGTTGGAAGGGAATGGGGGGATTCTGAAGGTTGGAGAAACGTCTGATGATCTAAGGATGCCCAGGACCAGGGGGTGTGTTCTAAGGAGTGCCCATGGGAACCTGAAGCTGTCTGGGGCGCTCCTGAGGGTCTGGAAGCGAGTGGGGAAGGTCGGGGAGCGGAGGGGAGAGGGTCGGGGGCTCCGACAGCGCGCTCACCCTGGCTGCCCGCGACGAGTAGGGGTCCTCGAAGAGCGCCCACACGCGAGGTTGCCAGCGGCGCCACCACGTGCCGCCCGCGCCGCCCGCGCCCCCTGGCGGTCCCCCGGCGCCGCCGCCCGCCTCCTGGAAGCAGAGGCGCTTGAGCTCGCCGCCCGCGCCGTCCAGGCCGCCGCCGCCCACGCCCGCCTCGTCGTCCAGGCCGCCGTCGTGGGCGCCTGCGGCGTTGGAGGCGTTGGCGCCGCCCGCGGAGTCGGGCGCCTCGAAGGAGTCGAGCGCCTCCTCGGCATCGCGGTGCTGCCGGTAGGTCATCCAGCAGCAGGCCTCCACGTCGGTCTCGTCGATGCCCCAGAAGCCCAGCTCCTCCTCGAACAGCGGCCCGCACACGTCGGACGGGCAGTGCAGCTTGCCGGTGCGGTAGTAGTTGAGCACGTAGGCGAAGACGCCCGGGTGCCGGTCGAAGAAGAACTCGTCGGTGCCGGGGTCGTAGTCGAAGCGCGCCGCCGCCTCGGGCTCCGTCAGGCAGGCCAGCCGCGTCCCCGGGAGGGTGCGCAGCGTCGAGCGGTACGTCTCATGGCGCACGCCGCCCACGTTGATCACGATCTTGTCGCTGTCGCCACCGCCGCCGCTGTGCCGCCCCATGGCCGCCGCCGGCAGCCCGGGGCATGGCTCGGCGCGCCGGTGCCCGGGCCCGCGGGATGCCGGGGCGCCCGCCGGGGACGCGGCGGGGCCGGGCTGCGCAGGCTGCGGCGGCTGCTGCTGCTGCAGCGGCGGCGGCGGCGGCGGCGGGGAGTCGGGAGGCTGCGGCGGCGGTGCGGGCTGCTGCTTGCCGGCCCCCTGGCGCCCGCGGAAGGACGAGACGCAGACTGAGCTCAGCATTGGACGGGGGGCGGGGCCGGAGGGGCGGGGCCTCGGGGGCGGGGCCTATGGGGAACGGCAGGCGTGATTGGGTGGGGAAACTATAAACGGAGGGGCGGGGCCTAAAGAGGGAAGCAACGGAAGTGATTGGCCAGGAGGATGGTGGGCGGGGGGGGGGGAAAGAGAGAGAGAAAGAGAGAGAGGCAGCCAACGAAACACAGAAGGCGGTAATGTAGGCTGGCTTGGCAGCGCAGAGAACGAAGGAGGCGGGGTTAGATATAATTGAAAAAAAAAGGATGGGGCGGAGCAGAGAAAAAGGACCAAGTCCAAACTATTTAAAGAGGCAGGACTGGCCGTGACAGACTGAGCTAGGGGGCGGGGCCACCACCGGAGAGACCATTCTGATTGGACAGAGAAGGGGGCCCGAACCTAAAGAGGTGGATAAGCAGAATCTGGTGGGGGAGGGAGGGGAGGACAGATGGAGACTGTGGGGTTGGGCTCCTAACTTTGCTGGGACTAGAAAGGGCGGATCTTAAAAAGAGGCGGGGTCGGAAAACATATAGTAGAAACTTCTTGATTAGTCTGGAGAGTGAGGAGACCGGACGAAAGGAAGGCGGGGAGCTGGAAATGGAGAGTGGAGGGTACAGTCTCCAGAAATGGCACTAGGCTGCTGGACTGACAGGGGACAGGGCAGGGGTTCCAGGAACCGAAACCCAGTGAGCGAGCCCTGTAAACCTGAAAGCGTCTGGCTAGGAATTCCCGTTGGGGCAGGTTAAAGAAGGGGCGGGGCCGGGGCTGCACACTTGGCCTAATTAGATGGGGCTGGACCGGGATAATTAGTGTCAGGATTGAAGAAGGTGGACAGGGACTCAGAGTGGTAGAAAGCCTCTTGAATGAGCTGAGGGAAGACGAGACTAAGGGAGGCGCGAGGCTTTGAGGGGCTAGAAAGCAACTAGACTAGTCTGGGGCGAGGCGAGGCCAAGAAAGGATAAAGAACGGGAGATGGGAGGAGGGGGAAGAACGGAAGGTGGGAGGAGGGGGATGCTAAGGGACCTGGACCAAGTACAAAACTACCAGGCTGCAAGGGGGCGGGTGGGGGCCTGCAAAGGGGAGAGAGAGTCCTAAGGGTCAATAGGGACTTAGAGGGCGGGGCGAAAACTTCCAACTGCTGAGGGGAAGACAAGGTCTCGATAACGGTCGGCTGGAGAGAAGAGGGCCACAGGATGGATGAGGAGTGGTGAGGAAGGAGCCCTGAGGCAGGAAGAGGGAGAGCCCCAAGCGCCAGCAAGCACAGTGGCGGAAGCAATAGGCGGGGCCAATAGGAAAGAGGGCGGGGTGAGGTGCGAGCCCTGGTTGGAGGAGAGAGATGGAAGTGGGCGGGGCCTGTGGTAGGCGTGGCCAGAACCAGGTCGGCGGTCCTAGGGGCGGGCGGCAGGGCGCGGGCGCGGGCGGGGGCGGGGCCAGCGGCTGCGGCGCGGCTGCGGCGCGAGGAGGCGGTGCCTGCGGGAGCGGAGGGGGCCGGTCAGGGCTGTGGGGGTCCCTCCCGCTGCCGCGTGCCTGGCCCGCCGCCTCCTTCTGCAGGCTGGTTCGTATCGCCCCCCCACACACCTGCGCCCCGCTCCCATTCCTGTTTCTTTTTAGCCCTTTTCTCTAAACATCTGTGCTCCCGTTTCTGCTCTCACACTTCTACGTCTCCCTCCCGCTGGGTCGCTGTCCCACGGCTTTCTGAATGTGTCCCCCCTCCTTCTTCAGAGTCTTTGCCCCTCTTCTGAGCCTCAGGATCGGCTCCCACCGCCGTGCCTCGGTATTCCCACCCCCCGTCTCTTTATGCCTTTATGCCTTTTTCCTTAGGACTTGCCTTTCTCTCTGGGCCTTTGTTTTTACCCCCTTCCCCCCCCCCCCAATTTCCCGGGCCTCTGTCCCTCCTCTTTGTTTCTCTGTCCTACACTGTCCCCCGCCCCCAGGCTTTCTCCTCCCACTCTCTGGATCTCTGCCCGTCCATCTGGGTCTGTCCCCATCACCCTTGTCATCTGGCCTCCCTCCCTCCCTGTGCCCTTTCCCCCTCCTTTGTCTCTGCACTCCCCCACTGCCTTTTCTCTCTCTGCCCTTTCTCTTTCTGTCTGTCTCCATCCACTGGTCTCTATTACCCCCCTCCCAGGTCTTTTCACCCCCCCCCCCAGAGTGTCTGTCCTCCACTCTTTGCCCCCACTTCTCTGGGACTGGGTCCCGCTGTCCTTCCCGGTCTCCGGTCCTCTGGGCATTTTTTTTTTTTTCAGACTCCCCCACCGCATCGTCCCCTCTAACCCCCATCCTGGCCAGGACACCGGGCTGCGTCACTGCAGGGAGTTGCAGAAGTGGGGCTCGTCCTGCAGACCAGAGAGGTAGTTCCCATCACCACTCAGACCCTGTGCCCCCCACGGCCCCTGATTCCATACCCTCCAGTCCTGGAGACCCCGACGGGACCCGGGAGAGCAGAGAAGAGACATCGGGGCTCCCTACTCCTCTCTGCCCCAAATTCTGGTGCATCCCCAGGCAAAAGCAGTGACTCCTGAGGTGAGGGATTGGGCTTGGGGCGAATGAACGAGGCTCTGGGCAAATCATGGGGTTTAGTAGGCGCTAGGGGCTGGGGTAGGGGCTAGGGTAAGAACTTTAGTCAGCTATCACCCTTATCGTTCCCTCCTCTCCCCCCCCCTCCCCATGCTACTTTTATTTTCTGCTTTTGACAGCAGCTAGGCAGGGGATCGAGTTACCAAATCAGCACTTTTTTGCAAAGGTCAGGTGTGTGAGCAGGTGCGGGCTGGGGTGGGGGGATGGAGGGCCGGATGGATAGGGGAGAGTATGGCAGGAGACCCTGGAATAGAGACCGTGAGAGGCGGGAGGCGGCCTGGGGCCAGGAGTATAACAGGATGGCCCAGGCTCCATCAGGCCCTGAAATTGGACGCCGTCACTCCCTCATGGCTGTCCCCAGGCCGAAGCAGAGTATGCGGGGGATTTGTGAGCTCGGATTCTCCCCCATGCAGGGACGGGAGGGGGAGGAGAAGGCGGGAGGTGTGCTTCTGAAGGCACAATGAGGACTCCGTTAAGAAACACTGACCTCGCAAACAGACCAGTGCAAGCGGACTTGATTTCTGGCCACCGGCATCAGTTTGGGGCAGGCCGATGCCTGCCTGCCTCTTTAGATCAGTTCCCCACCCCTTCTCCCTCCCAAATCATCCTTCCCCCGGTCCTCAAAGCGCAACATTCCTGAAAGCTCCAAACTCCCACCTGTCATCCTCTGCGCCCCTTCCTAACTCTCCCTTCCCCGCTCCCCGAAGCCCCGGAATTGGGGGACTTCTAGGATATTGTTCCTTCTCTCCACTCCCATGGGTTCCAAATCCAGGAAAGAAGGTCTCCCGGATACTAAGCGGACCATGATCCTTGGTCCCCAGAGGACCTTCAAACACCTTGCCCCCCCGCCCCCCCCTAAAAAAAAAGATCGTTACTGAGGGGGAATCCCTCCGCTGTAATTTTTGAGTCCCCGACTCCCAAGTCTCCCGCCTCCACAACTAGGATTTGGGCTGCCTCACCGCCCCGTTCCCTGAGCCTTCTACCCCTCTCTGTACTCACCCCAAGTCGAGGCGGGGCGGGGATGGGGGAATCCGGGGCGGCGGTGGGGGGAGGGGTGACCGAGCTCCGGGCAGCAAAAGGCTGCGTAGGGGGAGTGACATCATCACCGGAGGAGGGGCAGCGCAGCGCCCCCAACCCAGGGGCTTCATGCCCCGCCTTTATGGGGTCCCAGAACCCCAGAGGAGAGAGGAGGAGCAGGAGATGAATTCTGCGGGGACAACATCCCCTCCCCTTAGAATAAGAATCGGAAAACTACGATTTCATCCGATCCCCCCATTGCCACCTGTCGCTGCCGCCGCGACCTGTCGCCTCCCACGCGTGTTGTGTCTGCACCCGCCCCCAAGGCCGTGAACACAGTCCGAACTACGACGTCCGTGATGCTCCGCGACGTCGGGAGCCTTTGGCAAGCGGCAGTGTAGGCGCAGGGCTTCATGGGATTCGTAGTACAAGGCACCCACACCGGGGTGAGCCCCGGCGGAAAGGAGCGATACTTTTATTATCCTTCCTTTTCCTCAACTACAGACAGCCAGGCACTCGTGTTTACCTCCAGAAACAACACACTTAAATGAAAGTAAGTAGTTTCATGGGAATAGCGAATTTTTATTGAGTAGTGCGACCGCGGCTGTCGCCCAGTGCGCAGGCGTCTAACTCGGACGCCTTCCGGAGAACTGCGCCTGCGTGAGCGCACCGCCCGGCGGTCCGGCGCTGCGAGGGCGGGCGCGCGCCAGCCCCACGCGGGCGCCGTTCCTCACGCTCCCGCGGTCGAAGACGGCCACGTAGCTGCGCAGGAAGACGTCGCCGAGGATCCAGAGGGGCCCGACCGGCGGCGGCACGTCCAGGCCCTGGAAGCCGAGCAAGCAGAGGCGGGCGCCACCGCGAGCAACCTGCAAGGTGACCAGCCGGGCCGCCGGGTGTCACGCCCTCCGAGCCCGCTTCTCCCCCGGAAGCCGAAGCTTCGCCCCGGCCTCTTCCCCTCCCCCCTCCCCGTCCCCCCCTCCCCCCGGGCTCAGCCAAGATCCCTCCGGCCCCTCGGACTCACTCCCAGCTCCACCTTCTGAGCCCTCCCGGCCCCCCTTACGCGTCACCCTGACGTCACTCTACCTGGATGACGTAGTCCTGGGCGGTGAGGTTGAACCAGGCGCCCCCGAGGTTGAAGGACACGGGAGGGAGCTTCGAGATGATCGTGCACTCGATGATGTACTGCGGGGGGAAGGGGGACCAGCGCGGGTGAGGGCTTCCCGCTCTGCTCCAGTTCCTCCCGTGGCTCCCCAGCGCCAGACGGTACCGGGCAGCTAGGACTCTGAACCTGTGAGGCGGACCCTGCCGCCTCCTCTGGCCTCCGTATCTCTCCTTTCACCCTGTGGGATGGTCGCCGCATCCCCTGGCCGCCTGTGTGACCAGACCTTCTTTTCCTCTAATTGTCCATCAGAAACTGGTGGCCCTTACCCAGCCGGTGTGGCTCAGTGGTTGCGCGCCAACCCATTCACCCTCTCTTCCGGGGCAGGGCACTTGCCTGGGTTGCGCGCTTGATCCCCAGTAAGGGGCGTGGAGGAGGCAGTCGATCTTGCCCTCTCATCAATGTTTCTATCTCTCCCTCAACCTTCCACTCTCTCTAAAAGTCCATAAAAAAGACATTTAAGAAAAAAACCTGGTAGCCCGTTTTGGAGTGCCCAGGTGTATTTAATTCGTCTTACACTGGGTCTAAAATGTTTTTTGAAAGATTTTTAAAAATATTCGTTTCAGAGAGGAAATGAGAGAGAGAGAGGGAGAGAGAGCGAAACATCAATGATGAGAGAGAATCATTGATTGGCTGCCTCCTGCGTGCCCCCTGCTGAGGATCCAGCCCCCACCCTGACCAGGAATGGAACTGTGGTCTTTGCTCAAACACTGAGCCACATGGGCCAAGCTAAAAAAAAAAAATTCATTACCACCTGTATGCCATGGCGGTCCAGGTTGTGTCCTGTGGAGCCTATTGCTGTGCAACCTTATACAAGTTACTTACCCTTTCTGTGCTCAGTTCCCAATCTGAACATATAGATGGTGAGAATGCTCACCTTGTGTACCAGAGAAATGTGTTAGCTGGGGGAAATGCCTGACACATTGTAAGTGCTATTATTTTTTACAAACCATTGACTTTCAAAAAAAAAAAAAAAACTCCACAATTTCTGGTTTCTCCAACAAGCCAGCGATCTGGCTTTCCCCAAACAGCAAACTAGGCTGGAGCTGAGTCGCCGAGAACTACCCTTTTAGATCGATGGGGTGTGCCTTCTCCAGTTTACCTCCAGTTCCACCACTCCCAGGGTCCTAACAATACAATATCAGACTATTATTAGCAACCCAAAGAGTTTATCTTCCTGACAAACCAATAGGAATGACCCCGTTGGGAAGACAGGAAATGAGAATAAATAAGGTTGATAAAAACATCAACAGACAGGCATCAAGGCACAGTTCCAAGCACCTGAAGTGGATGTATCGATTCAGTCCTCACAACACACCTGAGAAGTGGGTATTAGTAACCCCGTTTTAAAATATACTTATTAATTGATTTCAGAGAGGAAGGGAGAAGGAGAGAGAGAGAGAGAAACATCTATGATGAGAATCACTGGTCAGCTGCCTCCTGCACACCCCACACTGGGCATTGAGCCCCCAACCCAGGCATGTGCCCTTGGCCGGAATCGAACCTGGGACCCTTCCGTCCACAGGCCGACGCTCTATCCACTGAGCCAAGCCCACTAGGGCAATGACCCCATTTTAAAGATTGGTAAACTGAGGCCAGGGACTGTTAAGTGGCCTGTCCAAGATCACGCATCCAGCCAGGAAGCAGCAGAGCTGGATTCCACCCTGGGCAACGCACAGTCACAACCTCTGGACCTCCCAGCTCCTTTAGCTCATTACCGGCTGGCAGACGTCCTAGGCACTGACCATGAACCTCAGCAGCTGAGTTTTCTCCACCCTCTCTGAAGCGCCAGAGAGCACAGGGACGGAGACACAGAAATTCAGACCTGGGAGGACCGGGCCCTGCAGGGCCGGAGGGGGAAGTGGGATCAGCTCTTAGGTTGCACCAAACCCCACTTGATGCTGGAAACAACCTTTGTGAGGCTTCTGGGAACCTACCCCCTCCAGGCGCTCCTTCCTGCCTCCGGCTGCTCCTGTCCTGCCCCCACTTCCACTCCATGGAATTGTTCCCCGAGCATGTTCCTGGGACCCCTCTGTCCCCTGGGAGGGCTCGCCTTTCCATGGCTGTGATTACTGTCTGAGGGCTGGTGGTCCCTACTGTGACGCCTGAGCTTCTTTCTGCCCCCGCCATCCCCGGGTCCCCAGCCTTCTCACTCCACCCAGTCCTCAGCAGACCTCTGTCGTCATCTCCATCCACTGAGTCACTCACTGCAGACACGTGGGCGGTGTCCTTGCTTCCCCCCACGGCCCCCGCCTGTCTGTCACAGAGCCCGGGCCTTCTGCCCGGGAATGCCTCCGGACCCCCAGTCCTCACCTTTGGACCCGAGCATCCCGCTCCGCTTCTGCCAGGAAACCCCTATCAGCCCCCCCAGCCTGCCCCTTACCAGACTCCCAGGCCTCACCTTCCCCAGCAGGGGGAATCCCCCGATGGCTCTGTGCAGGGCCCGGATCTCCTCCGTGGGCCCCGTGATGAGAGATGTGCCCGTGTCCAGAATGGCAGGACAGCCCTGGGCACAAAGCGTCAGCCCTTTGCCCACCTTCACACTGTGATTTAGAAGCAGCAGTCGTCAGAGCCAGTGTCCGAGAACACTCCCTCCCCTCCTCCCTCAGACCCAGGAGCCCAAGCCCCCAGCCCTCCTCCCTCAGACCCAGGAGCCCAGGCCCCCAGCCCCTCCTCCCTCAGACCCAGGAGCCCAGGCCCCCAGCCCTCCTCCCTCAGACCCAGGAGGCCAGGCCCCCAGCCCTCCTCCCTCAGACCCAGGAGCCCAGGCCCCCAGCCCTCCTCCCTCAGACCCAGGGGTCCAGGCCCCCAGCCCCTCCTCCCTCAGACCCAGGAGCCCAGGCCCCCAGCCCTCCTCCCTCAGACCCAGGGGTCCAGGCCCCCAGTCCCTCCTCCCTCAGACCCAGGGGTCCAGGCCCCCAGTCCTTCCTCCCTCAGACCCAGGAGGCCAGGCCCCCAGCCCCTCCTCCCTCAGACCCAGGGGTCCAGCCACCAGCTCCCCTCCTGCCAGGACACTGGAGAGCAATCTTAGCACCCTCCCCCACACACACAACACCCACCCCTGCCAACTAGAAGGCCAGGCCTCTCACCCGTTCATGTGGACCTGCCAGTAGGCAGGGACGGTGACGGGCACATAGGTGAGGGGTGGGACGTAGTGTGCTGGGTCCGAGCCACCCAGAACCAGCTCGCCTCCCTCAGCCGCCTCCGGGTCCCTGCAGAGAGAAGGATGCTGCAGTGCCACCAGGGTTTGCCACCAGAGTGGCCGAGGACGGGACTTCCTGCCAGGCTCAGGATGGGGCAGTGCGAGGCAGGCAGGGCCCGTGTGGCACTGACATGGTCTTGCAGGCTGCCTGGGTGGGAGCGGGACTTCCTGGTTTGGCTGTGGGAGGTAGAACTTCTGGGGTAAATTTTAATGAGTTTAGTTGAGCTAAAACTGACCTCCAATGTCCCTTTGGGGGGGGGGGGGGCGGGTTTAAGAGGAGCATTGGGGTTTCTGACCTGACTCTGGAGGGCGTATGGGACTGCGTTAGTGGATGGGGAGACTATTTGAATTCCATGTCTTGCAGTTCAGAGGCCATAGCTTTCCTGAGGTGGCTGGGCGTGATGGCGGTGGGGGGTGGGACTTCCTGGAGGTGTGGGAGGGCAGGATCCACTAAGAGGTGGGCGACTCCTGAGTAGGTTAGGGTCAGAATCACTGAAAGGGCGTAGGAGGCTCTGAGATGGGCCTGGGCAAGAAGGTGGAGACCCCCTGGACCCTCTGAGCATAAAGCTGAGCTTCCTAAAAGGTGAGTGGGCCCTGGCTGGTGTGGCTCAGTGGATAGAGTGTCGACCTGCGGACTGAAGGGTCACGGGTTCAATTCCGGTCAAGGGCACATGCCCAGGTTGCGGGCTCCATCCCCAGTGAGGGACTGTGCAGGAGGCAGCCAGTCCATGATTCTCATTGTGGATGTTTCTGTCTCTCCCTCTTCCTTTCTCTCTCAAGAAAAACTTACTTTTAGAAAATGGACAATTCCTGGCTTCTGGTGTGGGCTCTCCAATGGGAGGCAGGCATTTTTTATGCTGAAGAAGGTTTTTAAAATATATATATATATTTTATTGATTTTTTTACAGAGAGGAAGAGAGGGAATAGTTAGAAACATCAATCAGCTGCCTCCTGCACACCCCCTATTGGGGATGTGCCCGCAACCAAGGTACATGCCCTTGACTGGAATCGAACCTGGACCTTTCAGCCTGCAGACCGACGCTCTATCCACCGAGCCAAACCAGTTTTGGCTGAAGAGGGATTGGATTCTCCACTTGAATATTGACTGGGTGGGGCATGGAATTTTCCGAGTTGGAAACACGGAGCTTTTTAACTGATGGTGCGTTTCCCTAGTGCGTTTTGGGGTGTTGCCTCTTGAGTGGGGCTTACGGGCAGGGGTCAGGTGTGTCCCCTACGGGGCGAGTGAAGGTCCTGTGTGGGGCGGAGAGGAGCTCGGTGACTTCCTGAGTGGGGTGGGACTCCCCGAGGGCGGCCGGGCTGCCCCCGTGGGCCGGCCTCGGGAAAGGCAGACCCGTCCGCGTTACCTGTTGAGGTAGAAGGAGAACACAGGCTTGTCCAGCAGGCCTTCGTCCACCAGCGCGTCCAGCGGGGGCCGGACTCCCCCCACGGACAGAACGGGGAAACCGAGGCCCAGGATCCCGTCGAAGCGGGCGAACACGAAGACCAGGCTGGGCTCCCACAGCGCCTCCCCGAAAACCACGGACGCGTTCCCGATCCCCCCGATCTGGGGGAGATCCAAACAAACGGGGCGCCTTATTTCCGGGAGGCATTTCCCACAGGGTCCTGAGTGGCCCCCAGCGGAGGCCTGGATCCAGGGAACTTCTGGAAACAACTCCAGCTGCCAGGGAAGCTTCATCCTAACCCCCCCCTCTACTCCCCTGTACCCCCACCTAAGGACCCACAGCCCTTTACCCAGGAAGCTCCTCCCTCTCAAGCCCCTCCCTAAGCCAGATCATCTTCGACATCGGGGTTCTCCCAGGTTCAAGATCAAGGTCTTCCTGGGGTCAAGGTCACCTACAGTCAGCTTGTCCTCGCTCAGGATGCCGCTGAGCTGCCCAGACCCGTACTGGATGGCGAAGGTGGTCCCGTTCGGCCTGTAGGAGCTGGAGGCTTTGGGGTTGAAGCGGTGGTGGAACCCTGGAGGTGGGGGGTGGGGGGGTCTGTCACCGGGGGAGCAGAGTCTCCCCTGCCAGGGCGGGTCAGGAGAGAAGGGGGCCTCAGAACCCCGTGGGAAGCCAAGGCCTAGCCCCCTTCTCCCCCGGCCCCCACTCAGCCTTAAGCTCCCCCCACGAAAGCTCACAGCAGGGCAGACTGAAGAAGCTGCATCTCCTGGACGGCACCCAGAGGTTGGAGGAGCCGGTGTCAAAGACGACAGAGAAGTTCTGTGGGGGCGTCCCCAGCCCGATCTTCCCGTAATACTGGGCCTGAGGGCAAAGAAGGAGGTGGGAGAGAGGGTGGGGAAGACCTTGGCCACGGGGCCGGAGAGCGGGGCTGTGTGTGGGGGGCGGGCACTCACGTTCATGTAGTTGGAGAGGGGCACAAAGGCGGACCTGCCCCCCGGGGCTGGGGCCCCCAGCCCGAGGGGCGCTCCTGGGCTCCCCCAGCCCCTCAGTGGGCTCGGGGTCCCGCCTCCAGTGTAGACTCGGCCAAGGGGGATCCTGTGGGGAGGAGGGTACGGACTGCTAGGAAGGTGCCCTTCCCATAGACCATCGATCAGTCTTCCCCAGATCCTCTGTAATAAAAGCCTCCTATGCTAAGTGTCCGGTTGTCTGGTTGCCCATTCAACCAATCAGAGCATCATATGCTAATGATATGCGAAGGCCATTCAACCGCTTGCTGTGAGTGCATTGACCACCAGGGGCAGACAATCGCACCAGTAGGTTAGCTTGCTGCTGGGGTCCAACCCATGAGGTCTGAGCAGGATGGGCCAGACACACCCTGCAGCTCTCCCACAGTCCCTTCCTGGGTGGCCACCTCCCCTGTCCCTCCCCAGCCCTGATGGTGCACCAGTGGGGTCCCTCGGCCTGGCCTGCACCCTCACAATCCGGGACCCCTCGGGGGATGTCTGACTGCTGGTTTAGGTCCAATCCCCAGGATCGGGCCTAAACCGGCAGTCGGACATCCCTCTCACAGTCCAGCACTGCTGGCTCCTAACTGCTTGCTTGCCTGCTGGCCTGGCCGCCCCCAACTACCCCTCCCTGCCCACCTGGTTGCACTTTGCTGTCACCTCTCCCCCTCCCGTCAGCCTGGTTGCCCCTTAGTGCCCCCACTGCCAGCCTGGTCGCCTCTCACTGCCCCCCCCTGCCAGCCTGGTCGCCTCTCACTGCCCCCTTCTGCCAGCCTGGTTGCCCCTTAGTGCCCCCACTGCCAGCCTGGTCGCCTCTCACTGCCCCCCTCTGCCGGCCTGGTTGCCCCTTAGTGCCCCCACTGCCAGCCTGGTCGCCTCTCACTGCCCCCCTCTGCCGGCCTGGTTGCCCCTTAGTGCCCCCACTGCCAGCCTGGTCGCCTCTCACTGCCCCCCTCTGCCGGCCTGGTTGCCCCTTAGTGCCCCCACTGCTAGCCTGGTCGCCTCTCACTGTCCCCCTCTGCCGGCCTGGTTGCCCCTCAGTGCCCCCACTGCCAGCCTGGTCGCCTCTCACTGCCCCCCTCTGCCGGCCTGGTTGCCCCTTAGTGCCCCCACTGCCAGCCTGGTCGCCTCTCACTGTCCCCCTCTGCCGGCCTGGTTGCCCCTCAGTGCCCCCACACCGGCCTGGTTACCCCACGCAGCCTGCTGTTCAGTCATTACGGTGAGGGCGTCCTGATCAATTTGCACATTACCCAGATAGACCCAACAACTTGATGTGAAATGTAAAATTGACAGAGCTCTAGAAAGAAGTAAAGTGTTTAACTAGCCCGGCCGGCGTGGATCAATTGGTTGACCATCGTACCATGCACCAGAAAGTTGCCGGTCCGATTCCCGGTCGGGGCACAATGCCCGGGTTGCAGGCTTGATCGATGGGAGGGGGTGTGCAGGAGGCAGCAGATGGATGTCCTGCGCTCGCATCCATGTTTCTCTTCCTCTCTCCCATCCCGTCCTCTCTCCAATCAGTACAAGTACGTTTAAAAGTTCTGAGCTCTCAGCCGGGACCGGTTTGGCTCAGTGGATAGAGCGTCGGCCTGCGGACTGAAAGGTCCTGGGTTCGATTCCGGGCAAGGGCATGTACCTTGGTTGCGGGCACATCCCCAGTGGGGGGTGTGCAAGAGGCAGCTGATCGATGTTTCTCTCTCATCGATGTTTCTAACTTTCTATCCCTCTCTCTTCATCTCTGTGAAAATCAATAAAATATATTTAAAAAAAAAAAAAAAAAAGTTCTGAGCTCTCAGCTTCTGATGGAGCAGACCTGGGCGGGAGCCTGAGAAGTGGCGTTTCTCACAAGCTCCCAGCAGGGGCCGCTGTCCGCGGACTTGGGGGATGATGGCCATGATCTCTCAGGCCACACGGGCAGGTGAGCCAACGCCGGGTGCGGGGATAGTTCTTCCTTTTTCTTTTTAAAATATTTTATTGAGTTTTTTACAGAGAGGAGGGGAGAGAGATAAAGAGCCAGAAACATCGATGAGAGAGAAACCTCGACCAGCTGCCTCCTGCACGCCCCTCCGCACTGGGGATGTGCCCGCAACCAAGGCACATGCCCTTGCCCGGAATCGAACCTGGGACCTTCCAGTCCGCAGGCCGACGCTCTGTCCACTGAGCCAAACCGGTTTCGGCAGGGATGGTTCTTGTACCTGCCTGGCGTCACTCCTGGAGCCCTGCCCCCAGTCACTGCTTTGATCCCCTCCACCCCCAGCCACCCCGCCCCATCCCCGTGACTGCCTGACTCGGTCCTTGAGGGGCTCGGGAATGTGAAGTGGGGGAAAGGGCTCCTGGAACAGTGTCCCCCTCTTCCCCGTCCGGAGTTTCAGCGGGTGGAGAGGAAGGGAGAGATGGGGGTGGCGCTGGCCCAATGCGGGGATCATTGGGGTCCCCCAAACCGGACTTACTGAGACCTAAACAGTCTGGAAGATGCGAATCGGAGGGGGGGCCTTTACATGCCCCGGACCTGGGTCTCTGTCCCTGTGGGGAGGAGACCCCGGGACCAGCACATCAGACGCTCCCAAACCCAGGAAGGGAGGGGAGGGGAGGGCCCCAGTCAAGGGTTTCAGGGCTGGAGGATCTTGGGTTAAAAGTGCTGGGGGAGCCAAAGCCGGTGTGGCTCAGCAGATAGAGCATCAGCCTTCGGACCAAAAGGTCCCAGGTTCGATTCCGGTCAAGGGCATGTACTTTGGTTGCGGGCACATCCCCAGTAGGAGGTGTGCAGGAGGCAGCTGGTCGATGTTTCTCTCTCATCGATGTTTTCTCTGTCTCTTGAAATATGGTAGCAATCATTCTTGGGTAAAAACTGCTGTTTGAATTTTAACCCTACTATTCTGCCTTCGACCTTCGCTTTCTTTCTTTGTTCATCGTGCGATGAGCTGAGGGAGGATGAATTCAGATTCTAAGCAAGGTTTCAGGCAGAACTTCCTTTTTTTTTTTTTTTTTTAATTAAAGAGCCAGCCCTATAGGCACTTAGTGGTTATCTCGATGCTGGCCTTGAAAACAATACAGTTCTATCCAATTGAGAAAGTCCACCTGGCATGGTATTGAGATTATGGGCATATCTGGTCTCTGGCCTGCAAGGTCAGACAGCTAAGTTTACCTTCATCATTCTTCACACGGGCTAAAGCAAACTGGGAAGCAACATTTTATCTGGGAAGAACAGCAGAAAATTCCAAACAACAGTTTGTTGCAGAATGGGGGTTTTCCTTCTGAGAACCTTTAAAAAGAACCATCTGCCCCTGACACAGGGCAGTCGTGTGGAGTCCACCTGCCTGTGGTGCTCTTGTGGCTGTCCTGGCCGGATATTTCAATAAATCCTTGCCTGCCTGCTTTTTTTTTTTTTTTTTTTTTTTTTTTTTAATTAATCAGCCTCCGGTGGTCTTATTTTGAACCCAGGATTCGACCCCCACAACATCTCTCTCCCTTCCTCTCTGTAAAAAATCAATAAAAAATATATATATTTTTAAAAAGGACTGAGGTCTGCCCTGGTGGGTATGGCTCAGTGGTTAGGGCGTGGGCCTGTGTGCACTGCGGGGTCCTGGGTTTCATTCCCGGTCAAGGGCAGTACCTGGGTTGCAGGTCCATCCTGGTTCCCAGTCGGGGCCCCTGCAGGAGGCAACCCATGGATGTGTCTCTCTCCCTCTCCTCCCTCCCTTCCATTCTCTCCAAAAAAGAAAAAAATCAATGGGGTCTTCGGACATGGCAGGGTGGAGTAGCTGGGTGAGAACCCGGTTTGGAGCCCCTGGAAGTGGTCAGAGTCTGGGGCGCCTGGGTGGACAGTCCCTTGGAGGGGAAGGAGGGGGGGTCTGTCCCAGGTGTGGGGGTGGGGGTCCCCAGTACCGGATCAGCGCGGCGCCGGCAGGCCCAGCGGGCAGCAGGGGCGGCGGCAGCAGCAGCAGCAGCAGCAGCTGAGGCGGCGGCAGTGACATCTCTGGGGACCGGGTGTGGCCTGGACCTCCAGCTCCCTTTTCTCTCCCCCGAGGCCCCGCCCTGCAAACCACCTGCGTCCCCCCCGGGAAGGGGGGCTGGCTCGGGGGCAGCGGGGTGTTTGGGGGCGGATGTGCGGAGTATCCGGGGAGTCTGCAGAAGCTTTATCCGGGGTCACTGTCGCTCCTCACGCCCAGCTCCGTCTGTTAGCCACTCTGGCTTTAACGTATAATTCCACTTCCTCCTCCTCAGACTCATTAACCACAAGGGTGTTCTTGAGCAAGCGAAGGGGTGGGTGAGGTGCGGGTGGAAGGGCTGGGGGAAGGGAGAGAGGACCAGACCAGGCATCCTCCTTCCCCTGTTAGGGTGACCTCGAGAAGGTCAGAACCCCTCCCACACACACACACACACACACACTCTGTGTTTTATTGGGAAAATAACTGAAACACAAATAAAAATCGCCCATAGCCACACCACCAACCAAAAAAAAAAAAAAAAAAAAAAAAAAGCATAGTCCTGGCTGGGTAGCTCATTGGTTAGAGCAGTGGTCAGCATATTTATTAGTCCACAGAGCCAGATATCCACGAGACAAGGATTGAGATTTCTTTGGAGAGCCAGATTTTTTAAACTTCAACTTCTTCTCACGCCACTTCTTCAAAATAAACTCGCCCAGGCCGTGGTATGTTGTGGAAGAGCCACACGCAAGGGGCCAAAGAGCCGCATGTGGCTCAAGAGCCATAGTTTGCCGGCCACGGGGTTAGAGCACCCCCCCCCCCCCCGCCACTCCGCCAAGGATGAGAGTTCAATTCCTGGTCGGGGCACATACAAGAAGCAACCCACCCTGGCCAGTGTGGCCCCATGGTTGGGCGTCACCCCGTGTGCTTTGGAAGGTTGTGGGTTCGATTCCTGGTCCAGGTACATGCCCGGGTTTCGGGCTCGATCCCCAGGACAGAGGCATGCAGGAGGCAGCTCATACATGTTTTGCTCTCGAGTGGATATTTCTCTCTTACTCTCCCTTCCTCTCTCTCTAGAAATCAATTTTTTTATCTTGATTTTTTTTTTTTACAGAGAGGAAGGAAGAGGGGTAGAGAGTCAGAAACATTGATGAGAGAGAAACATCCACCAGCTGCCTCCTGCACACCCCCTACCGGAGATGTGCCCGCAACCAATGTACATGCCCTTGCCTGGAATCGAACCTGGGACCTTTCAGTCCGCAGACTGATGCTCTACCACTGAGCCAAACCGGCTTCGGCCAGAAAAAAAAAAAAGTTTTATAAAAAGACACAGATGATGGCCAGAAAAACAATAGAATGTACATTATTACAACTCTGTAAATGCTTTTTTTTTTCATGTACAAGAATTGGAAAACCCTAAAGGAAAGCAGAGGTGGGTGGGTGTACTAGTCAGCTAATGCTGTGTAACAAATGACCTCAAAACGGAGTGGTGTAAGACAGAAAGAACCACGTTATCTTTTGTGACCTTCCTGAGTTAGAAATGTGAGAGCCGCTTGGCCATGGGGTTGCAGACACATATCAGCCGAGGCTGCCATCATCCGACGGCTGGAGGATCTGCTTTCGGGATGGTGGGGGCCCCAACTCTTGAACTTGGGTTTTTCTCTGTGTGTGTGTGTGTGCTTAGGTAGCAGCAAAGTCCCTTAAGTGGACCCTGGAGGAAAGGGATCGCTAAGGATGGAGTTACAACAGTGGGGGTGTCCCAGGCAAAGAGGTGAGTCTAAGATCCCTCCCCCTCCCCAAGTTTCAGAAAGCTTCCTCACAGCAGCGCCCTGAGGAAGGGGGGGCCATTCGGGGAGATCCTAAAGGAACAGAGGCTCAAGGGCTGTACAAATAATGATGCAAGAGAGAGGAGGAAATATCGCACGACGGAAAGTTTTGAGTGGGGACAGGGGGAGGGAGTCGGGGCCTGAGGGGAGGGAGGGGAGGCCTCTTCTTACAGCTTATCCAAACGGGGCCAGGGGTGGGGCAGCCGTGCGGGCCCCTCTGCAGACAGGGCTGGGGGCGTCCCTGGGGTCCCCTCTATTTTGTTTTTGCAGCAAAAGAAGAAGTGAGAACGAAGAGAGGAAGGGGTACGGGAGGTGGAGAGAGAGAAAGTGAAAAAACGGTTTCTCTGAGACGGGAGAATGAGACTGTGGGCTGCTTCTGAGTGTCCACTTGACTTCTGCTGTCACGCCTCTCAAGAGCAATCACAAGCTCTGCTGGCAGCAAAGGGGCACAGAGAAGGCAGGGGGTTTGTTTGCACCAGACAAAGACGATCCAGGGGGAAAGAGCAATACTGGATTGAGGCGGTTCACCGTAGAATCTATGCGTTTGAAGAAGGAAGTGGGGGTGAAGGAAACCGAGAGAAACGATGGGTGGGGTGAGAGGATCGGAGGTACCAGTGGCATTACAGAAGAGAAAGGCCCTATATGATTTGGTCCCACTTCCTCTCTCGTCATCTCTTCCCTCTCTGCCCCACTCACTCCAGTTCAGCCACATGGGTCTCCGTGCTGTTCCTCGGACATGCTCCTGCCTCAGGGCCTTTGCACAGGCTGATCTGCCTGAGTGTTTTCCCTCCAGAAAACCTTGCTCCCTTGCCGGAAGCCAATCCCAGCATGCGAGCCGGGCGGGATCGTCTGGAGATGGCTGAGGGCATTTCCCCAAACCTGAGAAGGATGCATCACTGATTGCTTGCTGCCAGACAGCTGAGGGCCTTTCAATCTACATGTTATTGCCTCCTGCTGGCCAAACACCTGAACCGCTGGAGGTAGTACCTCCAATCTGACGATGGATTCTGTGTACCAAACCTTACCCTTTGGTATGTATATCTACCATGGTCGGCAAACAGCGGCTCAAGAGCCACAGGCGGCTCTTTGGCCCCTTGAGTGTGGCTCTTCCACAAAATACCACGGCCTGGGCGAGTCTATTTTGAAGAAGTGGCGTGAGAAGGAGTTTACTTTTAAAAAACTTGGCTCTCAAAATAAATTTCAGCCGAAACCGGTTTGGCTCAGTGGATAGAGCGTCGGCTTGGGGACTGAAGGGTCCCGGGTTCGATTCCGGTCAAGGGCATGTACCTTGGTTGCGGGCACATCCCCAGTAGGGGGTGTGCAAGAGGCAGCTGATCGATGACTCTCTCTCATCGATGTTTCTAACTCTGTATCTCTCTCCCTTCCTCGCTGTACAAAAATCAATAAAATATAAAAATAAAAATAAAAAATAAATAAATTTCAATGGTACTGTTGATATTTGGCTCTGTTGACTCATGAGTTTGCCGACCACTGGCCTAGGACAATTTGTGTTAATAAAAAAGCAAGGGGTCCTGAGACGAGAGAGAACTTAGTTTCTTTAGCCAAACTCCTCTGCCTCCCCAAATGCCTTCCAAAAGTATGTTTCATCTCTGGACTCTTGATTCGTTTACACACAGCGCCTTCTCCAGCTTCCAGAACTTTCTGGATGCTGCATTAAGACCACCGGCACTCCCTCTCCTCCTTCAATTTTTTTGCTTAAATGTCCCCTTCTTAGTGAAGTCAACCCTGGCCACCCTGTTGAACGTGGCAGCCATTCTCCCTCATCATGCACCCTCATCTGTGTTTTTCATGGACTCAGGGCTTTCTGACATGTCTCTAATTCTAAGATGCCGTCGATGGTGAGCCCTGTACATGTTAGCATCAGTGATAGTGTCTAAATTGGTGATTTACTCATTACCTTAATGCCTGTTTCCCTTAGAATCTTATCTTCACCAGGGCATGCACCTGGGTCAGTTTCATTTGCCAGTGTCCCCAGCACCTAGGCAGTGCTTGGAACCTAGCCAATGCTTAATACATTTCTTTTCTTTTTTTTTTAAATACATATATATTTTATTGATTTTTTTACAGAGAGGAAGGGAGAGGGATAGAGAGTTAGAAACATCGATGAGCCCAGCTGGGTGTAGCTCAGTGGTTGAGTGTCGACCCAGGATCCAAGAGGTCACTGGTTAGATTCCCTGTCAGGGCATATACCCAGCTTGTGGGCTCGATCCCCAGTGGGGGACAATCAGGAGGCAGCCAAGCAATGATTCCCTTTCATCATTGATGTTTCTATCTCTCTCCCTCTCCCTTCTTCTCTGAAATCAATAAAAATATATTTAAAAAAGAAACATGGATGAGAGAGAGTCATCGATCAGCTGCCTCTTGCACACCCCCTACTGGGGATATGCCTGTCACCAAGGTACATGCCCTTGACCGGAATCGAACCCGGGACCCTTCAGTCCACAGGCTGATGTTCTATCCACTGAGCCAACCCGGTCAGGGCTTAATCCATTTCTTTAACAACCCACTTTGAACATCAGTGGGTTTCCCCTGGCACAGCAGGCAGAGTCAGTTTCTCTAGTAACTTTCACCACATCTCCCCTCTCCTCTGTCTCAACAGTCCGAATACTTTATCATTTTTTTTGTCATTTCTCATTAGAAGATATTCATTGATTTTGTGTGTGTGTGTGTGTGTGTGTGTGTGTGTGTGAGAGAGAGAGAGAGAGGGGGGGGGGGAAGAGAGAGAGAGAGGAACATTAATTGGTTTCAATAGGGTGCCTCCCACATGGTCCCAACCAGACAAGGGCTGGGATCAAACCTGCAACCTAGGTACATGCTCCTGACCGGAACTGAACCCAAGACCCTTCAGTCCATAGGCCAATGCTCTATCCACTGAGCAAAACTAGGGCAGAATATTTTATTTTAAAAAATATATATTTTTTTGATTTTTTACAGAGAGGAAGGGAGAGGGATAGAGAGCTAGAAACATTGATGAGAGAGAAACATCGACCAGCTGCCTCCTGCACACTCCCCACTGGGGATGTGCCCGCAACCAAGGTACATGCCCTTGACTGGAATCGAACCTGGGACCTTTCAGTCCGCAGGCCAACGCTCTATCCACTGAGTAAAAACGGCTAGAGCAGAATATTTTATCTTGATTCTTCAGGATCATCCCACCTGGATTCTGCACTATTCCAACCCCAGCCTGCATTTTCCCAAATG